TGTTACAGTATGATATGAACATGTTTCAGTATTTAATGAACTTGTTCTATTGTATAATGCACATGTTCAATTACAAAATGAACATGTCTACATTCTATATAAGATGTTCTTCGAACATGTATGACAACGAAATGAACATGTTGAATAAGCAAATGAATATGTTATTAAGCAAGTTGAACATGTTCAAATGAACCAATATACGAATGAAGATGAACAAGGCGGACATACCGTTCACCAACATTTTTTGGCCGTTGTTTCGAACTCTTTTTCCTACGGGCTTTAATTTTATCCTGTGTGGCAAAAAATTAACAACACATTATACAATCTTCTGCAATGACTACTTTAAACCCTAGGCACAGAAATTTGAAATTGAAAATAGGGTTGGGAAAGTGAAACTTCAACCCAAGGCAAAAAATACATACCAACATATTCTGCAATGTCTCTTTTTCCATCTGCATAAAGTAGGGTTTTTTATTTCGAAGTTTAACATTTAAAATCGATGAAACTTAAATTTAATCGACATGAAAAGCAAAGAAATCTTACCTATGAAGTAGGAATCGTCGGAAATTGAGCGTTTTTCAGTTAAAATTGTCTTCTCCGGGAACTTTTGATCGTGAAACAGAGAAAATTCAGAGAAAAAATGGAGAGAATGAAGAGGAGTTGCAGTTGGGGGAAGAAGACGGTTGGAAAATCGAGGAGGGATGCCGGAAAATTGTAGAAAAAAAATAAATGTTAAAAGGTGTGATTTGACATTACAGGCGCGTGACACCACGTTAAATAAAAACCAATTCAGACACTTTTTTCTTACTTGTTTGGCGCGTGTAAATATAGCCTGGCACACCTAGCAAGGTGTGTCAAGGCACACCATAGTGCAACTGCCTAGACTATGGCGTCCATGGGGCTTCCTTTACTATTATTATTATAGGGTAAAGAAGACGATTCACCGATCTTCCATGCCTACGAAGGGTACTGTAGCGAGACTGATTGCAAAAGAGGGAAAATTGGTATGGACTTCACTCGGTTTCCTGCTTGGCATAACGCAAAGAACTGCAACCTCCTCTACCGTGAACGACCTCCGCACCTACAAAATATCAACACTGGAGAGAGGTTTTCGGTGAAGAGCCTTCGAAGCTTAAGTCAATACTTGCCAAAAATAAAGTGCAGTATGATAGTATAATAATGAATGTAGAGAGAATGTATTATTGTGCTACCTTATGTTTCTTTTCTAATGGATGTGTACCTTGATTTTTAAGTTTGGCTTGTGCAATATTATTATGACACATGTCATGACTGATAACCTATCTGCGGTCTATTCTAGTATATATTTATCCTTAGTAATGCTCCCTAATCACGGTGGACACATGTTAATGTGTCATGTATATATTGTGATGTATGTTTTGAACATATTAGCATCACCAATATGTGAATGCCACATAAGCGGTGAGCATATTAACATGTGACCACCGTGAATAGGGGAGCATTGTACTATCATTCTTATCCAAATCCATGAATATACAATGTGTGGAGCTTGAATCAACTTGTAACTTACGAAATACAACAACTTGGGCTTGTAACTTACAAAGCCCACATTTTGGGCTGACAAATATGAACCCATTGTCGTCCCATTTGGGCCCAATCAAACCGCGCATCGCACATCATCGGCTACAAAAACCCTAAGGTTAAAAGACTTCATCTTCCTTCTGAACTGAGACGCC